ATAATTAGGACTTTTATCGTACAATTGCGTGTTATAAAGTCAGAATTGCGAGATATAAAGTCAGAATTGGGTGATATATAGTCGCAATTCTGAGAAAAAAGAATTGTTTAAATCTCCAAATTCTGACTTTATATCACGCAATTCTGACTTTATATCTCTCAATTCTGACTTTATATCTCACAATTCTGACTATATCACGCAATTGCGACTTTATATCTCGCAAATCTGACTTTATATCTCTCAATTGCGACTTTATATCTCACAATTCTGACTTTATATCTCGCAGTTCTGACTTTATATCTCGCAATTATGACTTTATATCTCGCAATTCTGACTTTATATCTCGCAGTTCTGACTTTATATCTCGCAATTATGACTTTATATCTCACAATTCTGACTATATCACGCAATTCTGACTTTATATCTCGCAATTCTGACTTTATATCTCACAATTCTGACTTTATATCTCGCAATTCTGACTTTATATCTCGCAGTTCTGACTTTATATCTCGCAATTCTGACTTTATATCTCGCAATTCTGACTTTATATCTCGCAATTCTGACTTTATATCTCGCAATTCTGACTTTATATCTCGCAATTCCGACTTTATATCTCGCAATTCTGACTTTATATGTCGCAATTCTGACTTTATATCTCGCAATTCCGACTTTATATCTCGCAATTCTGACTTTATCTCACAATTCTGACTATATCACGCAATTCTGACTTTATGTCTAGCAATTCTGACTTTATATCTCGCAATTGCGACTTTATATGTCGCAATTCTGACTTTATATCTCGCAATTGCGACTTTATATCTCGCAATTCTGACTTTATATCTCACAATTCTGACTTTATATCTCACAATTCTGACTATATCACGCAATTGCGACTTTATATCTCGCAATTCTGACTTTATATCTCGCAGTTCTGACTTTATATCTCGCAATTATGACTTTATATCTCACAATTCTGACTATATCACGCAATTCTGACTTTATATCTCGCAATTCTGACTTTATATCTCACAATTCTGACTTTATATCTCGCAATTCTGACTTTATATCTCGCAGTTCTGACTTTATATCTCGCAATTCTGACTTTATATCTCGCAATTCTGACTTTATATCTCGCAATTCTGACTTTATATCTCGCAATTCTGACTTTATATCTCGCAATTCCGACTTTATATCTCGCAATTCTGACTTTATATGTCGCAATTCTGACTTTATATCTCGCAATTCCGACTTTATATCTCGCAATTCTGACTTTATCTCACAATTCTGACTATATCACGCAATTCTGACTTTATGTCTAGCAATTCTGACTTTATATCTCGCAATTGCGACTTTATATGTCGCAATTCTGACTTTATATCTCGCAATTGCGACTTTATATCTCGCAATTCTGACTTTATATCTCACAATTCTGACTTTATATCTCGCAATTCTGACTTTATATCTCGCAATTCTGACTTTATATCTCACAATTCTGACTTTATATCACGCAATTCTGACTTTATATCTTGCAATTCTGCTATATCACGCAATTCTGACTTTATATCTCGCAATTGCGACTTTATATCTCGCAATTCTGACTTTATATCTCGCAATTCTGACTTTATATCTCACAATTCTGACTTTATATCACGCAATTCTGACTTTATATCTCGCAATTCTGCTATATCACGCAATTCTGACTTTATATCTCGCAATTGCGACTTTATATCTCGCAATTCTGACTTTATATCTCGCAGTTCTGACTTTATATCTCGCAATTCTGACTTTATATCTCGCAATTGCGACTTTATATGTCGCAATTCTGACTTTATATCTCGCAATTGCGACTTTACATCTCGCAATTCTGACTTTATATCTCGCAATTCTGACTTTATATGTCGCAATTCTGACTTTATATCTCGCAATTCCGACTTTATATCTCGCAATTCTGACTTTATCTCACAATTCTGACTATATCACGCAATTCTGACTTTATATGTCGCAATTCTGACTTTATATCTCGCAATTGCGACTTTATATCTCGCAGTTCTGACTTTATATCTCGCAATTCTGACTTTATATCTCGCAGTTCTGACTTTATATCTCGCAATTCTAACTTTATATCTCGCAGTTCTGACTTTATAACTCGCAATTCTGACTTTATATCTCGCAATTCCGACTTTATATCTCGCAATTCTGACTTTATATCTCGCAGTTCTGACTTTATATCTCGCAATTCTAACTTTATATCTCGCAATTCTGACTTTAGATCTCGCAATTGTGAGAAAAAAGTCAGAATTGTGAGATAAAAAGTCGCAATTGCGAGATATAGTCAGAATTGCATGAAATAAAGTCAGAATTGCGTGATATAAAGTTGCAATTGTGAGATATAAAGTCAGAACTGCGAGAAGTAAACTCGCAATTGTGAGAAAAAAAAGTCAGAATTGTGAGATAAAAAGTCGCAATTACCTTTTATATTTTTCATTCTATAGCAGAAACAAGCTTCCATAGTTTCTTCATGTTTATAAAAAAACGATTTTTTTGAAAGTCAAGAAATCTGTATAGAAATCTTTTTTTACATGAATGCGTCCTTGCTAAATAAATGTATTAATAAAAAAATAAATAAAAAAATCTCACTGACTCCCAAACTTTTGAATTGTAGGGTGTATTGTAATGTTACTAAATAATAAAAGTTACATTGAGATTAAATGCTCAGTTCATTTAACATGAAAATTAAGGAAAAATCCTCATGCCTTTTTTATGTGTGTGTGTGTGTGTGTGTCCATGCACACGTGTGTTTGTAACTGTCCTGTTGCGTCTGTAATGACAGAGTCCCAGAATGCTCTGTAGCCAATTAGCCTGCCATAATTACCCAGACTCCCATTGAGCTGTCAATCAGAGAGGAGCTGCACAGGAAGTCATCCCTCCCTCTGTTAGCGGAGGAAAGTCTCTGCTGAGCCCTCCCCAATTAAACCCACTCTCACACTAATATTAGACCCGACTTAACCATCTCTCTCTGTTTGTGTCTTTCTCTCATTCGGTCTCTTTTACGTTACGTTTCAGCATTGGCTCTCCTGACATCTTTCTTTCTGTGTTATTGTCTCTCCACCTCTTCTCACTCATAATTGCAGAGTGCTCAGCGCAGACCAAAGCACATTTGTTTCAACAGATGTTTTCTGTGAAGAGCCACATACAAACGCTGCACGCTGTTGTTGCCTTTCGTTGTGGTTTGTGTTGCCAAGTAATTATAAGTACACGAGGTAACTCTACTCCGTCACAAGCTTACTCCACAATCAGGTCTCAGTATTTCTAATGGGATTTATCAGGAATTTTGATCAATCTTTTATACGAGCGACTGCTGTTAAATCCAGCTCAAACCAACTCAAAGTCAACGGAAAGCCAAAACTGACCTCATTTACTTTCTTACACATTTCTGGTCATACCATACACAACGTATTACTTGTTCTTCCAAAAACAAAATAACTTTATAATCTTGCTGGTTTTTCAAACTGATGTCTGGCTGAATTGATCTACTTAGTACTGGTACACTCCAAAAGCGGGTTTTCGCAGCAATGACATTAAAAGAACCATTTTTTCTTAGTGCGATAAATATTTAAAAAATCTAAAAGAGCAATTTTCCAAATTAACCTTTTGTGGAATGGAAAGTTTCAAAGGATGTTAAAGATTTTCATGGAACAATAGACGCCAATTAAAGGGATACTTCACCTCTGGAAAGATGAATGTGTATTTAAAATGGGTCAATTCGAGAAGAAATGTGAAATTATTTTTGAATTTGGAGCTTTCTAGTCTGAGAAAAGCCATAAAATGTATTTTTGGCTTATGTGGATGAAAGACAACAACTCCCAGAATGCACTTGCTTCGCTGCCCTAGGAGGCCACGCCTACCGGTAACAGAGGGCAGTCGTTAAACAACAAGTCTAGGCTACTAGTGATGAGTCTGACCGAAAATGTGTTTCGAGATCGCCCAAACTGTCCGGGATTCGGCTTTTGCGATCTACAGTCGCCATTCATCATGTTTACTGTGGCGAGCGGGACGAGTGAGGGCCGCGGGAGAACGGCGCGAGGCCGGTGACGAGATTACCGATGTGCGACACCTGTGAGACGCACCGGTCTCGTATCTCTCACGGAGGAGCGGGAATTTTCTTAGCAATGTTAAAACGCACATCAACCGATCACTTGTTTAGCGTTCATGTAAACACTACATTCAGATTCACCAATCGCAATGAACTCAGTTAGACTGAAACAAAAGCTGTGCTTGTAAACAATGAATGGCGACTGCAGAAAGCAAAAGCTGAATCCTGGACATCGACGGCCGGACATGTCCGGGAAAAAGACGATGTTAACCCCGACTACTCAGCTTTCTCCACAGAACAAGAGCCTGCTAGCTTAGCTTCCAAAAAAAGATGGCCGACACTATGAGTTCATTCTGTGAGTGAGATCCACCGAGAAGATGCGGGACAGACACACTACTGACTGTAGTCTTAGCCTCTGGACAAAAAATCCTCAGATGACGTAAAATGACGATTTTTGCGTAATCAGAGGATTTTTTCCAGACAAAAAACACATAAAATCTCTCGTCTCAGGGGGATATGAGGGTGGAAAGCATGGTAATTTGAAAATACTACAGGTTTTCTACTAATACGAAGCTTAATGATAAATCCTGAAGTATCCCTTTAAGACCAGCAACATTCAACTTGACATGTTAAAAAAAACAGCCTGACCATTTAAAAGCTATGAGAGATATTACTAGGAAGGAGTTCAACCACTTAAATCAGCGTAGACCAGCAAACCTCCAGCTTAAGGTAGGTTTAGTTGAATTTTCCATCAAGGAGACCATGCTTAAGGTTAATGTTACTGAATCTGGCTTATACATACAAATACATGAAGCACAAATGTTAGAAAAATCACATTTATTGCCGAAAGTGTTTGTTCACAGAGGACAGTGATGAGTTCAGAGCCCTCAGATCTTCTCTGTCTTACCTCTGTGATGTTTTCTTGTACTTCCTCCTGAAACAAAACAAACACCATGTTAAAAACTTGCATTTGACTACTGTTCACAATCATAGTTCAATGATTTCAGCAATAATAAACACACACACACACACACACACACACACGCACACACAATCTACATTTCAAACCATGCTGTTTCCTATTTAACCGGACACGTTCAAAGAACTTTAGCAAACGTTTTGGCAAAGTTTCCTCAAATTATGAACAAATGTTCTTCCTGGAACGTTAAAAGAATGGTCGTTCAATGTTATCTGGTAGAGCCAGACCGATATATCGGCAGACCGATATTATCGGCCGATATTAGGCATTTTCCAAAATATCGGTATCGGCAGTTATAATGGCCGATAAATTAATATTTCAAAAATAAAATAAAAACGGACGAAATACGCTTGAACCATGTCATGAGTGTTGGAGTTGTATAGTTTGTCCACCAGAGGGCACTCTACACCGTTCCTGTTGGCAACACTCGTTGAGTTGGGCACGAGACATACATTGCTTGAATAACAATTAAAAGAACATCCCCATCAGTTCTCTTAACTCAAATAAGCATGACAAAATTTGTGACTATCGTGTCCAGTTTCGCTGCTGTTAAATAAGCCGAGAGTGAAGCAGAATCAGCTAGTAATAATTACGTTACATTGTTACAGTGTAGTTGACCGACTGTCCTTTTAACTTTTGACAATGTGACTGAAGTATTTCTTTAATAGCGCGTGACAGTTATAGCAATGAGACGTATCATCTCTCCCTGGCCTGTTATATTGAAAATGTATGTTTTACAGTTTGCAATATGACGTTATCCATTGCTAAATTATGGCTCATCATAGACTAGCTAACCACAAATCTACTATCATCAGTGTGTTCTGTTGTGACAATAAAAAAAAACAAATTTCTTTTTAAAATGCATTATCATATTATTTAAGTTAAAACTCATAAATAATTACAAATAACTAATGTTAGGGAAATCTGTTAATATTTTGTTGCGCATTTCTGAAAAAAAAAATATCGGCCGATATATCGAAATATCGGATTTTAAAACAAACAAATATTTGTATCGTTATCAGCCTTCAAAATCCTTTATCGGTCGGGCTCTATTATCTGGTCTGAGAACATTCAAAAGTAACAATGTCATAATGTTTGAAGAATGCTAAAATGGAATGTTAAAACGTTTAAAAAAACTGGACGTTTTTTACAGCCCATTCTCACCCCCAAGGCGTCACTTAACTGACGCCTTGGGAAGCATTTGGACATGCTTCAATATCTGACGCTTTAGGCGCCCTTTAGCGTCAGTTAGATGACGCCCTAGGATCGCGTGTACCCTACCCCCACCTCACACCTAAACCTAACCGCGTCCTCTAACTGACGCTTTCCTTTAGCGTCATTTAGATGACGCCGTAGGATCGCGTCATGTAAGTGACGCTAAAGGGCGCCTAAAACGTCAAATATTGAAGCATGGTCAAAGGTGACGCCTTGGGGTGAGAATGCGTTGTTTTTTAACAGAAATAATGTTCTCTCAATGTATCTTAATAAGACCATATTTAGAACTTAGAACATATTTCATATACAAGATCAGGTTTTAATAGTGGTCTACTGTATTTATAATTGATAACTGTAACATTCTGTAAAGATGAATATTAACATTCATGAGCAAACCTCATTATATTTTATACTTTTTTTAAGATTACATAACACCCAGTTTATATAAAATAAACTGGGAAAAATCTAATCTTTTCCGTTTTTGAGACAAGCCATTAAACCTCTAAGCCTCCATTAAGAATCCAAGCATTTATGACTTAGAATACAGGCTGTTTACAGCGCCACTTCTTCTGGCATGTATTTACGGAGTCCATATATGTGTCTCCAAAAAGGCCATTAACAACGCAAGGCCGTTGAAGCAATTAGTCAGCGAACAGGAAAAATCGGAGCTGCCCAATCATTACTCATTCCTGCCATGAGCCACCATCACTGGTGCCTGAAATTGCTCCGTAAGAGAAGGAAACTCCTTCTTTTCTTTTTGAAGTCACCAAACACATTATGAGTGCAGCTTCACACCATTAAGAGGTTGTATGCACACAAGGGCACATGCATTCCCATGTCCACATACTGTATGCGCACACACCCATGACAGCTGTGCATGTTTGAGGCTTTCGGTGAGATTAAATGCTGATGCGGTTAGATTTACCCACTGGAGTAACCTTTAACATCCACATATACAGCTGCTTCTACAAGCCCAAAACACTGCAAAAACAGCTTAACAGCCTGTGAACTGACGGGCAACCATCCAAACCCAGTAAAGGGACTGATGTCAGTTTGGCAAAAAGAGCACTTGTTTTGCCCTCAGAACAACATAAGTGCTTATTCACAAATGAAACTAATTCAATTTGTGCACATGCATATACACCAGCTGTGAGGTCAATTACGTTATATGCACTTTTGTGGTGCTTTCTGGTGCTCTTTTGAGCTTGACAGCAACATGTTGTAAACCTTGTAAGAAATATTTGATATCCAGTGAAATTATCTTTATTTGGCTTTTTGTGTTTAACAGAATGTTTGAATCCACTACGTATCCCTCAATCGGGTCATGGGGTCTATACGACCCCAATCAACTTTTACTTAATAAAAAAAAAAAGGTTCCCTTCATGAATAAGATTTTGTGACTTTTCATACACACACAAAAAAACTGGGTTTGATTCGGTTGTTCTGAAGGAATGGAAAAAAAATGTGTAAAAATGTTAAAAAAAAAAAAAAAAAAAAAAGGTTTACATTTCTGGTCTTCGGGGTCAATACGACCCCACATTTAAATGAATGGGAAATGGGAGAAAAAAAAAACGAAATATATTTTCTTCATGTGTCAAAAATCACAGAAATGAAGGCCTAGTACTAATAAATGCAATGTATCTCCAAAAACACAGCATTAATGAATAGATGAGAAGGAAACAAATGATATATTATTTGTATGATTAAAAATGTATATGTTTTTTTGTACAATTACTCAATCAATTGTTGGGGTCGTATAGACCCTTAAGTGTAAACTGGAAACGAAGACCATTTGAAGGTTAAAATGATTGCGTACTGTATGATTGTTTACATTTTTAGGCAAACTATTCCTTATATATATATCAGTAATATGACTCTGAATGTACAAGTATGATATTTAACAAGTACAATAAGATGGGAGGGACATGATTTTGTCAATAAGGAATTATGAAAAGAGTCTCTGAATGACAGGTGGACATTTATGTCAGCCGAAAAGGAAATTCATTTTAGTGGTGGAACATAATTTTATATTAAGTTAATATATTTGGATGAAAGATTATGAAAACAGACATTTTCTTTGTTGGATTAACGCAAACTAATCAATAGGGCCAGAAACTTGTTTTAAGGGTTAAGCATAAGACTGACATGACATATGTCTTGAATATGACGTAGGGTTATGACAGCTGTCATTAAATGTCTTGCGCTCAATAATGACATTTTGAGTGCATATGATACTGTTTAAGATGTCTTTGTTATGACATCTTGACATAAACCAATACATCATAACCTCTCAGCATTGTTGTAGTACTCGAGACTCGGACTCGTCTCGGACTCGGTCTCGAGACCATATTTTAATGGTCTTGGTCTTGTCGTGGACTCGTGTGCATTTGGACTCGGAATTGACTCGTACTCGAACATTTTTTTTTTAGGACTCGGACTTACTCCCGAGTCCACTCGTGTTCAATTCAAAATATTTTTCATGATTATTAATGTATGTTAATAAAATATTTCTTTAAATTGATTGACACGCCCAGTGATTGGTGATTTTCTAGTGCGCAACTGCGCATGACAAATTGTAATAAAATTACTTTTAACACCACCTACTATGTGGCCTTTTTACCCTAAACTGATCATATTTTTTAAACTCTAAGTAAATTCAGTAAAAAAAAAAGGATTTCTCAAAGTAAATAAAAGTAAATTAGGTAATCAACCCTCACTGGTCTCGGTCTCGACTTGGACTCGACCGTCTCTGGTCTCGGACTCGACTCTCTATGGACTCGGTCTTGACTCGGACTCGACTCTCTCTGGTCTCGGTCTAGACTCGGACTCGAGTGAGGTGGTCTCGACTACAACACTGCCTGTCAGTGTCTTTGTCATGACATCTTCACATTAAATGAAGTTAAACTGTCATGTGGTTGGCTTTGACATTGGCTGTCATGAGGCCATTATAACTGTGTCATGAATATTTTGTGACCTCAACTCCAGTGGTACTAATTGAATTTGTCATTAAAAAGTTATAATGGCTTCATGACAGCCAATGTTAAAACCAACCACCTGACATACCTGTTTAATGTAATGCTAACCAATAAAGCTAGGTGCTTTCTTAAGTTTGATAATGAATCTGCTATGTCATGTTTATGACAGGTTGTGTTGTCATAGTAATGTCAAGTTGTCATGACAAAGACACTGACAGGTTATGATGTATTGGTTTATGTTTAAGACATCTCAAACAATGTCATATTTGCATTAAAATTGTCATAAATGAGCGAATGACACTTAATGACAGTTGTCATAAACATGCATAAAACTTCCTTCATATTTATAACATATGTCATGTCATGATTATGAAGGTAAAGTGTTACCAACGTGGATATCATGTTGAAACACACACAAAACTCTTCAAACATAACATTAACAGAATAAAGATACTGCATGAAGGAAGAAAATATGAGGGGAGATAAACAAGCCCAGCCCTCAATAATCTCTTGCTTTCATTCGCCTTTTCTTTCTCCTTAATTCTCTCACTCGTCCTTTATTCTTCACAGATAGTGAGGAAATTGCATTTCATTTCCTGACTTCTGTGACAATAAGAGACTTTTTCCTCCAGTCTCCCAATATCTGCCAGAGAGAAAAGCTGATTGACATCGAAAGAGATTCGTTTTTCTACAGATGATGGAGGTGTTTAATATATATTTGAGAAGTATTTGAAACATATTAATAAAAAGTCAGCAACTCTCTGAGCCTGAAAGTCTGAAATGACCTCATTGAATAGTGAATAAAATCACAATAAAACACTTTTAAATGAACAATGACTGTCATTTAAAGAATAATATGTGTGAATATACATTTAAATATATATATCTTTACATGTTTCTTCTTTTGTAAATCTGTCCAGAAACTTAAATAAAAAAAATGAGAGAATAAAAAATGAATTAGGACCAAAAAACGTCCTCATTATTATAATGGGAGGCATTATATTTTTTTTTAAATGTTTATTTCTTATAAGTCATTTTTATTTTTTAAAAGTTATGTTCCTCATGATAGAATTTGTTGTACAGCGTTTAATTTATGCTGATTTAAACAAAAAGTGTGATATTTGGCAATTAACAACAACAAAATTTCATACAAAACGTACGTCTCCATGAAAAACAGTCATAAAACAAGCTTTAAGCTTTTTGCAGAATATAATTTATCATTTTTTTCTTTTGATTTTGGGGTGGAAAGTGACCTTGACATGTTTACATAAGATACAGCCTCTTGGTCAACCTCACACACACACACACACCCACATACACACAAAACACAAGAAAACCTGTTGAAAAAAACTCATACTCACAGTCCACGCAGTCGGAGCCAGATTTTCTCGATCTGGTCGGGCTGTAAGTACTTGAGCGAGGTGCTTTCAAACTCCTCGATCTCTCTGGTGGGAGACTCCATGATGTGAAGACGAGGAAAGAAAAAAACTTAATCCCAGAGCCGGAGCAGAGGAGAGCGATTCCCCTCTTCAGATGAGCTGTGGTCGGGACGCTGCAGTCATCAAGCCCTGTTCCTGCCTCCTCCTCCTCCTGTCCCTCGTGCTCCACTCCGGGTCTGAGCACAGGGAGAGTGTGACGGTACTGCAGTACGCTCTCTCTCTCTCTCACGCTCTCTCAAAAATACAACGCAGTCCAGATTAACCCAGACTCCTGATTTCACGACACGAGTGTTGGCGGGAGGAGTTGAGCGTGACTAAAGCCTCCAGCGGGGATGACGGTATGATCAATAATGACAAACTGGGTCTCTTCCCACAGGACATCTCTTTAATATCTCAATTGTTTCTCCTAGCCAGGAATGAGATTAAACGGAGGCTTTTGTTTGAGTCTGCTGAGGGGGAAAAGCCTAGTGACCTCACATGCGTCTCCAGAGTGCCAGAAGAGGTCTGAATGCGCTCAGAATCGCAAAGATGCCAATCAAAAGTCAGAAATCTTAATATAAAAATCCAAGACTGAATGATCTGAGACGTACTGTCTAGAAAATATAAATGGATTCACTCATTTGTCTCATTTGCTTAAAGTTGTTCTTTTTTTACATCTTGAGACAAGCTTACTTAAATGCAAGATAATATTGACCCTCACACGAGAGCTTTTGTTCATTTGCCTTCAGAGTTTAGTTTATTTGATTGGTGTGAAAGTCGTCGTTCTTGCATTAAAAAATATTAGGGCTGTGCAAAGATTAATTGCGATTAAACGCATCCAAAATTACAGATTGTGTTTGCATAAATATGTGTGTGCTGTGTATAATTATTTTGTATATATAAATACATATGCATGCATGTATATATTTAAGAATTATTTGCATGCAAATACTATATATATAAAATTAGGGTATTTATTTTGTATATATATATATATATATATATATATATATATATATAAATAGTTATGCATGCATGTATATATTTAAGAATTATTTGCGCTTAAATTCTGTATATATATATATATATATATATATATACATAATCTATGTAATAAAAATATAAATATCTTATATATGAATAACACTTTTTCTTAAATATATACATGCATGTGTGTGAAGATATTTGTGTGTGCTGTATATAATTATTTTGTATATATAAATACACACACATGCATGTATATATTTAAGAAAAAAGTGTTATTCATATATAAAATATTTATATTTATATAATATAGATTATGTATGTATATATATATACAGAATTTAAGCGCAAATAATTCTTAAATATATACATGCATGCATAGGTATTTATATATACAAAATAATTATATACAGCACACACAAATATATTACGTAAACACAGACTTTTATTTTGGATGCGATTAATCGCAAATAATTTTTGCACAGCCCTAATATAAATACATAATCTATATTATATGTAAATATTTTATATATGAATAACACATTTTCTTAAATATATAAATGCATGAGTGTGTATTTACAGTATATACAAAATAATTATACACAGCCCACACAAATAAATGTTGTAAACACAAACTTTTATTTTGGATGCAATTAATCTTTGCACAGCCCTAAAAATTATATATATATATATATATATATATATATATATATATATAGACAAAATGCAAAACAATGAACATGCACGTGTCTACAGAGGCATTTTTAAAAACTGAATGCAATTAAAGATTAATTGAAAACTGAATGGTTTTTAACATGACAAAGTATGCTAAAAATGTGGTGCGTATGGTGCAAGATGCTGAAAAAAACATGTTGGAATGGTCAAAGAGGTTCATCTAGCATGTTTACTTGAAGAAAATGATTAAAAAACAATTGTACGGGACTTGCTACTGTCAATACATAGACAACACGCTGCTGTGAGCAAGTAAGGCCTGCTACAGGTGTACAAATACAGGTGGAGCTGGGGAAGGTGGAGGGTTTCCGAAACATAGCTGCTACTGCTTCAGACACTGTGGACCAGTATTTGAAGATTAAGCAGCGATCTCATTGGCTACTGATACAGCAGGAACCAATCAGCTGAGCCCTTTAGAAAATGATGGGCTTGCGAGCAGATTGAGATAAGTATCAGCCAGCGCCATCTAGAGTCTTATTACAGAACTCTGTATTTTTTTTTAATAACATTTTTTTTGAAGAAACATTGAGACGAACTTAAATGAAACAATTTAGACTTTCACACCAACTTTTGGTTTGTTTGACATCAGAGTTTGGTTCATTTGACTGGTGTGAAATTATATTTTGCATTGAAAGAACAGGCCAAATGCACAAGAATGGACAGGCATGAACTGTTTTTAACTTGGGAGGACATCTTAAATATGTGAGATAGGCTGATAAGACAACAAGACATGCTACGATGTTCATCTAGCATGTTTACTTAAAAAACAATTAGCAAAACAATTAACACTTGTGCAAATTGATGCAAAAATACACCCCTAGGCTATGAAATAACAACGCAATAACATTTAGGCATCCTATTATGCTGGTGAGAGAAAAGACAGAGGAGGAGAGGAGGAAACAGAGAAAGAGAAAAGCAGTTAATGACACAAACTGTGACTGGAGAGATGAAGAGGCCAATCAGCCTGCAGCTGTAAAGCCGTGCATCAGCGGAGTGAGATTATATGCCACCCCACAGTCATCCACACACTCTCAAGCACTCTATTCTCACATTCTGTTCACTAAATGACCCAACGATTGCTCAATTTCTTTCAGGACTCGCAGATGATAAACAGATTCGTCTTGACGATCAGGAGATAACTTCGTAAGAAACAAATTCATAAATTCTCTGGAATAGAAACATGATCAATTCATTATAGCAGCAGAGCTTTATGAAAGTTTAACATCTCAATTGGCTCTCCAGTTAGATTAAATGGAGAACATATGGAGACTATCACTTTTTAGATTTAAACTTGTGGATCTTTTCTACATTTTCATAAAAGATCTCATTGTCTCAAACTGATATACACTATTGTTCAAAAGTTTGGAGTCAATTTTTTTTTTTTTTAAGGAAATTCATAAATATTCAGCAAGGATGCGTTCAATTGATCAAAACTGGCAGCAATGACGTTTATAATGTTACAAAAGATGTCAATTTCAAATCATTGTTATTTTGAACTTTCTATATTCATCAAAAAAATCGTTTGAGCAGCAAATGAAGGATCATGTGAAACTGAAGCCTGTAATGATGCTAAAAATTCATAACAAAAAATCCAAATAAATGCAGCCTTGGTGAGTATAAGACGCTTTCAAAAGCATTAAAAAAATCCTAATGCTTTTGAACTGTAATGCACAAAAGACAACACAATCTACATTCAAAAGTAGGACCAGATTTGCTACAGTGTAAACCCTCTTTTGATGTAAAAAAAAAAAAAAAAAAAAAAAACATTGTCAGGATCTACTAAAAACATGCATGAGCGCTGAAAAATAAGCACTGAAAGGGCATGGACACAGTTATTTTTGCGGGAGACCTTATTGCATATTGTAGGAGTTTCCCTTTCAGACAAATTTTTATTTATGGGAGGAGAATATTTAAATCAATCATGCAAGGTGATTTACTAAGGTTTGCGCTAGTCAAGTTACTGGTATTTGCACCATAATTTACCACCCAACAAAGTCTGTCTTAAACCAGATGCTAATTGGTAGATTGCGTTGGTCATTACGGAAATGATCCGAGTGCGTCTGTGTTCTTTAATTTGAGCGAAGTCAGTAGATAACGCACTTAACTTTCCACTCCCATCTGTGTTTTTTTTGCAATTATACTCTCACGCTAACTTTCCCTGCAAGTCAAATTTCTCAAATTCATTTAAAACTATTGATTAAATTTTTCCTTCTCTTTGTTTCTTGTGCTTTTGTATTTTCCATCTGCTTCTCACAATGGGGCCATTACATAATGGAGTTTCCTGAACACCTCGAAAATCCAATAAGGCTGAGAGCAGGGCTGACCGGCCTGAGACTAATGCAGAGATCTAATTCCTCACCCTGGAAATGTTTTTTCTCCAGGGAGACATTCAGGGCCAGCTGTGATTGAAAGCCGAGACACAGCAGCAGGTTAGTGCGGCAGAGTTCCCCAAAACATGCTGGTGTGTGTTGGTAATATTCTATGGGAGCCCTGAACCGCAACGTAAAAAAACCTGTAAGAAAAAAACAAAGAAAAAAAAAAGTCGAAATGAAAGATGGAAAAAGTTTCGAGATTAAAAAAATAGTCGAAACTTGTCGAGATTAAAGTTGAAACGTGTCGAGATTAAAATCAAAACATTTCGAGATTAAAGTCGAAACGTTTCGAGATTAAAAAGTCAAAACGTTTCGAGATTAAAACATCGAAAAGTTTCTAGATTAAAACGTCAAAACATTTTTAAGATTAAAGTCGAAATGTGTCAAGATTAAAGTTGAAACGTGTCTAGATTAAATTCAAAACATTTCGAGATTAAAGTTGAAACGTGTTGAGATTAAAGTCAAAACATTTCGAGATTAATCTCGACACGTTTCAACTTTAATATTCTATAGGAGCCCTGAACCGCAACGTAAAAAAACCTGTAAGAAAAAAACAAAGAAAAAAAAAAGTCGCAATGAAAGATGAAAAAGTTTCGAGATTAAAAAAATAGTCGAAACATGTCGAGATTAAAGTTGAAACGTGTCGAGATTAAAGTTGAAACGTTTCGAGATTAAAAAGTCAAAACGTTTCGAGATTAAAAAGTCAAAACGTTTCGAGATTAAAACATCGAAAAGTTTCTAGATTAAAATGTCAAAACATTTCGAGATTAAAGTCGAAATGTGTCAAGATTAAAGTTGAAACGTGTCTAGATTAAATTCAAAACATTTCGAGATTAAAGTTGAAACGTGTTGAGATTAAAGTCAAAACATTTCGAGATTAATCTCGACACGTTTCAACTTTAATCTTGAAATGTTTTGAATTTAATCTAATCTCGACACGTTTCAACTTTAATCTCGAAATGTTTTGAATTTAATCTAATCTCGACACGTTTCAACTTTAATCTCGAAATGTTTTGACTTTAATCTTGACATGTTTCAACTTTAATCTCAACACGTTTCGACTTTAATCTCGAAATGTTTTGACTTTAAAGTCGAAACATGTTGAGATT